GTAGGGCCGGGGCCTTGGTGATGCTATATTCGGAGTTTGGGAACTGCTTTTCAGCTGGCCCGGGTCTGACTTCTGGGTAGACTTCATTCTTCAAAGTTGATATAAAAAATTTTCTCCTTTCATCTTTTTTCTAATAAAACATTCTGATCCTTATGCTTCCTCTCCATGATCAGAGGGTCTTCAGTGTCCATCTCTATCTGTCTCTCTCATAGATAAGTTCGTGCTTCACTAAAAAAAATTTTTAAGAAAAAATAGTGATTATTTGATTGACTATTAATCTGAGCAGATTGATTTGTTCATAAAGATAATGTTATTTTCCTTTGCACTATGTTCTTTCTCATTTTAATATACTGTAAGTGTCCTCTTCATTTTTGTCTTGCCAGTCTTGAAGATGACACCTTCAGTTCTACAAATAAAACTTATCACTTGTTGGAGCAAGAATCAGAAAGAATTAACATTCCTCATATGTACTAATTTTAGTTATTCTCAATCAGCCTAAAATATTTTTAACCCACCTTTGCCTAAGCATTTCCATCCTATTTCTATTCTGAGTAATCTAAACAAAAACATTTTTTGAAGAGAGAAAATACCACAGAGATATTGCTTTTTATTGGAGCAGGAACTTATGGTCATATATCCCTAAAGCCACTTCAAAGAATTTCAGTATCTCGCTTACTTTTGTCAGGAATGCTTCTTCCTCCCTCTGCCTCCTTCCTTCCCTTCCTCAGGTTGTACCAGAAATACATACCCCTGATATTCATAAAGCATTAAAAGTCATTTAGTTTCTAGACAAATTGCAAAGTTTCTAAGTGATGGTGCTTTGCAGAGATTGCTGAGAACCAGCCCTGGAAATCACCCTGTCAGTTCTGTGTCCAGTGCTAGAGAATTAAGTCCAACTAAAGAACCGTGGGTTCAGCACAAAACCTGAATCCAAGTGGAGCAGATGAGAAGACAGTTTGACCATATGCCTTTGATAAATTCTCACTTCAGGAAACTTCCAGAAATATAGAAAACTCCTTTAAAAGTATTATTTTTACGCGGGTAAATAGTTTGAGGGGAGGGGGGCAAGAAATGTGACCCTCATAAATGATGGTGGCAGAAATGTCTTTCAGGACAAAAGGCTTTGTCTTCTGAAGCACATTGTGCACATTCAGACCTACTCTTCCTCACTCTTGGCTCCTGGAGCCGAAGTCTATTTGCATTTATTTTAGTCTATGTCATACAGTGAAATAAAAACCTGGTGTCACATTTCTGTACAATTCAAGGAATCAAATACACACTCACTCAAATGAAGTTGCTTTCTTCATCCTCTTGGATTGGGATCATGCCTAACACATTGTTATGTTTCCGAAGCAATGGCATGTTCTATGGCTGGTAAGCACTACATTCGCCCCGTTTCTAGAAAATACTGCTGGCTCCAGGGCATGAGTCAGCAGGAAGGAATCAGCAAGAGGAAGGAGGGTCGTAAAGTGAAGGATGTACAGTCGGTGTTAGGATTGGAGTGGTGGATGTGTCTAGTCTATATACAGTATCAGCTTCAAAGACATGCAGAAGCTACCAGAAATACAGGTGCTGTAGGGTTTTTAGTCATTTCTTTAGAATGGCTCAGTTATTTTTCTAAGAAATAATGATGTAGGAGCATTAGAAATGGATTGTGAATAATATAATTTTAGCAGGAAATAGAGTGAAAATAGAATAGAGCTCCAATGAAAGTGAAGAGTACCAAGTGTCAAGAGAATATAAACAGTGATAGAAGGAAGTGTATGGCTTTGGGAAAGACTGATGCTTATTATGTGGCAGGTAGTCAGAATACAAGTTACAAAGTATAAAGTAAGCTCTCTTGTTTTATTCGTGCGGAACTAAAAATATTACCATTTCATATAAGCCTGCCTCATGAAAGATTTACAAATATTGTATTTCAAATAGTTGCTAAACTGTTAGGAATATATCTGAGATTAAGGGATGTTTTTAAGTTACCTCATATTTATGCTTAACAAAAACATCTTGAACTCTGGGCAGTTTAAAAAGAAGAAAAACAAACTGGTATGGGTTTATATGTTTGGCATATAAATATTCAGTAAAACAGGATGAGAATCTAAAACCTTAAAACCAATTATGTGAAATTCATTGAATGAAATGTGGAAAGAGGAGTTATGATGGGTTTTTAAGAAATACTTAAAGTATTGAAATGTTTCATGTGAAGCAGATACATTTTTCTGTATGAGCTCACTCAGATAGAACCAGGACCAATGAGTGACTCTTAGCTCCAGTGAGGCATATATAGTTTTTTATTTAGCACAGTGGCTTTCTAACATTCAGAGCAATTCAAAATTTAGGTTAGGCTGGTTTAAGAGAAAAAATTAAAGAACCACAACAGAACAGTAGGAATTAAATTTTTAAGAAACTGTACCACTTATAATAGCGATAGAAAACATCAGATACATAGGAATACATTTAGCAAAAGATGTGCAGACCTCCACATGAAAATGACAAAGCATTGAAGAGAGATATTAAAGAAGACCCAAAGGAGTAGAGGCATATACCTTGTTCTTGGATTGAAAGATTCGATATTGTGACGATGTTGTTTCTCACCAAATTGATCTATATTCAGTGGTAATCTCAATTTAAATCCTAGCATTTTATTTTTTTACAAGCTGATCCTAAAACTTATATGGAAATGCAAAGGGATAAAGAGAGTTAAGGCAGTCTTGTAGAAGACCAAGATCACAGATATCAGTACCCTTATGCAGTGATGGTAATTGCAATCTGTGGATTGGTGTGTAGAGACTAGTGGAAGAGCATAGAGAATCTGGAAACACACACATATATATATTTATGTTTAAGCTGGCATTGCAGTACAGTGGGGAAAGGATGGTGTTTTCATTAAGTCGTGGTTGGGCAGTTCGACATCCATGTGAAAAAAACCATGAATACTGATCTTTACATCATTCAAATGGATCATAGATCTAAATGTGAACAAAAAAACAAGAGGTGTTTAGAGGAAAACAGAAGAGACTATTTTCAGGACCTTGGGGTAAGCAAAGATTTCTTCAATAGACATTCAAAGCATTAACCATAAAAAAAAAATTAATAAATTGAGCTTTATTGCTATTAAGAACTTTTGTTTATCAAACGACCCTATTAAGAGAGTAAAAAAGCAGACACAGAGTGGGAGGAGATATTGGTGATATATATTTCCAAGAAAGGATTCCTACCCAGAGTATATGTAGATATCTTCTACAAATCAGTAAGAAAAAGGCAAGACGACCCAATGGAAAAATGGGCATAAAACATAAATAAGTACTCACAAAAGAGAGGTTCTCCATATGGCCCATAAATAGGAAGAGATTGTCAACTTCATTAGTCATCAGACAAATGCAGTTTTAACCACAATGTAATTAAACCGCCACACACCCACCAAAATGGTTAAGATGAGAAAGATAGACAGTACCACATGTGGGTGACGTCATGGGGCATTTGGAACACTCTTACACTGTCAGTGAGTATGTACTGTCCAACTATTTTGGAAAACTGGCAGAATTTGCTGAAGCTTAATGAACACAAACACTATAACCACCAAGTTCCACATTTCGGTATGTGTACAACAGAAATGCATACATGTGTGCGAGAAAAGGTAAATACATGAGTGTTCCCAGCAGCGCTGTTGGTAATAGCCAAAAAAGAAAACCAGCTCAAAATCCATCAGCTCTAAATTAATTGTGAAATATTCATAGCAGTGAGAAATCGTACAGCAAAGAGCAGGTGAGCTACAGCCACAAACAGCAATGTGGCTGAATCTCACAGACATGCTGTTGAGAGAAAGCAGCCAGATACCAAAGTGTTATCTAACTGCCATGCAGAGGGAGGGTGAAAGAGTCAGTGGTGTTAGAAGTCAGGGATGTGGTTGCCCTCGCTGCGTGGGGTGTTAATTGGAAGGGGTTGTTCTAGGTGTGCTGTCATGATTCTTCATCTGGGTGGTGGTGATGTGGGTCTGTTCACTTTGTGAAAATGCTTTGAGCTGTACACTTAGGATTTGTGTAGCTTGCTGTAAATCCTCAAGGCAAAAAGTTTAAAATATTCATAGAGATACCAAAAACTAAACTAGGTAACCACTTGGCAAAGATTTGTGGTGGAATGAAAGCATCGGTGTAGCTGAGCTGGTGTCTAGGTGGCAGAGTAAATGTCGGGAGGTGGCTTTCTTCTCATGGGCTTTGAGTAAGTTGTTTCCAGAAAAGATTTCTGTTCTAAAAGGTCTTCAGGAGATAATTATTGACAAACTCTAAGTTGAGTGTCCCAAGGACAAAACATCATTTGCTTAGAAAATGGCTGTTATAGGAGAGCAGCAGTAAACTAGGTTTGGATTCAGAAGATTCAGCAGATAAATAGAATATTCTGTAGTTTCAGTTTTGTCCTTCACAAAAGAAGAATGACAAAAGCATTTGCCTTTCTGCTTTTTTATTTTTATTGCAATAATTTCATATCCTCTGTCAAAAAAATTGTTAGCTATTTAAAAAGTCAATATGATTAGTAAATAGAAGTGGAAAGCACAGAGCTGAGATAAAAGGAGAGGAGAAGTATGGTAGCTACAGGTCAACTCAGTGGCTGGACTTGAGCACACGGCTTGGCTGTCACCTTTACAATATCCAAAGCTGAAAGGGGAACAAATATAATTTCCTCAGGTGAGAGTTATTTTTCTCGTCCCCAAAGCTCTGAGGCAGGTTTCCCACCTGAAGCCTTAAAGAGGCAACATTGACTGACATAATGACGCATGTCTTCAATGACGGGTGAGGTGGCAAACATGTAAGTTGAATTTATGGGTTGTTTCTTATGGTGACTTTCAGTAAAGACAAAGGAGAGTGTAATTATTCCATGAATGTGTGTGGAAGGGAATCTGTGCTTTAACTGGCCCCCTGCAACTCGTGTGGGGTAGACACATGGCATTTGGGATGTTTTTTTACTGCTTTTCAGAGGGTGATTTCCCATCTGTTTCACTCCGCCAGGTGCCCGGGAAGAGCCCAGCGTGCAGCAGGCCCAGCGTCGGTCGGCTGTCTTTCTGTCCTTTAAGTCTCCAATTCCATGTCTGCCCTTGCGCTGGGAGCAGCAGAGCAAGCTTCTCCCAACGGTTGCCGGCATTCCTGCCAGTAAAGTTTCCAAATGGAGCACAGACGAGGTATATTTCGTTTTCTTTGTCTGTCAGGGACCAGATAAAGGAGCATGGGCTTAAGGAGGGGACATGATGAACGTGTGTGGGTTTAGTCTTTTTTTCTGAAAGAGAAGAAATTACTCTGAGACAAACAAGGAAAACGTATAGGGTAAGTATTTTAAAGCTGTGGCATTTAGATTCTGACTTCTTTTTTAAACTGGAATTTTGATACTATTTTTGACAGGTGTCAGAATTCATACAGAGCTTACCTGGGTGTGAAGAACATGGAAAGGTATTTAAAGATGAAGTAAGTGTTGCACTAAATTGCAGTGTGTTACTTAATGGGATCAAACCGTGAAACACAGTGAAGGGTGAAATGTTCTGAATTGGAAGAGGGCGGAAGAGATGGGTTATGTTGAAATTGACTAATTGATGCAGTTATCTAACAAGCAGCATTAATCAGTTGTATGAAAATGTCTTTGTATAAGAGCGGATGCAAAGGATGTGTTTGTACCATTTTGATGCCCCACAGCAGTAGCGCTAGACTCATTAAAAAAAACCCCACAAAACTTAATAGCATGCATTTATATAGTTTATAGCACAGGAAGAAACCAAAGTAACAAATAAGCAACATTTTATTTTTAATAAAGTGAAATTATTTTATTTTCAAAGACCATTTTAACACCACCATGATTAAGTCCATTTGACTCTTATAATAAATAATATTACCATTATTGTTAAGACAGACCCTTAGATCTTATGTATTTCTCAGTAAGGTTTCCAACAACTGATACTCATTGAAGTCTACTGGAAGATTCCTTTATTAGTTGTTTTCAACTACCTGTCCAAAACTTCAATGTAAGGGATGATATTATAATGCAACCATCCCTTTCATTGAAGTTTTGGACAGGTAGTTGAAAATGCCTGTATCATCTGCATTGACCATTAGAACAAAGGAATTCAGTTTCTCCCTACACTAGAAGTAATGTTATTTGAGTACAGAAGGAGACTCTTTTCACTAAAGACCTTTAAAAATAAGCCACTTGCCTGTCAGCTCCTCCAAGCAGAACGGTCAATTATTACTCTGATCTTGGCTACGAGAAGGTAGAAAGGAGACTAAGTAATCTCATAAGGCTTTCTCCAGCGTCTGCTGTCTACTGTTAGAAGCCTATACGCCTTGCTTGCTCCTATATTTAGTCCCAGCTGATGAGAACAGTACACTTTCATTTAAGAGCATCTTGGTCGTGTGGGGACAGCTAGGACTCCAGCCACTTGTCGCCAGTGTCCTTATACTGTTAGGTTTCATTAATGCTTTAGATGGATACTGTCTGATTTTCAACATCCTTTCTCTGATTTCTGCTCTTCTTTCAGAAATGTTTTGTCTTCTTTCTAGTTGATCTTTAATCGAAAGTTATTTCGACTTTGAGTTTCTTTCCTTAGCTCCTGACTCCTAAGTGTCTTTGTGGACCGCTCTCTGTTAGTTTTCCATCTCTGAACAGCCTTAGATGCCTGCAGGGAGCTCTTGCTGTTTCTTTGAAAGAGTCATGCAGTCATTACCTTTGAAAATGGTAAAACATTTAAAAAATAAGTCTATAGTATGTCTATTTTGTAAATCATGTTTTTGGTTCCATTGCTGTCTAGACAATCCATATAGATTTACTCTGTATATTTAGTTTAAATAAGATTCAAACTCAAATGACGTGTTGTTTCTTTGAATAATTTTTTCCTCATGGCGTATTATCTTTGGGGCGCTCCTCAGGCACCAAATATCCTCAGAGCTAGATCCTTCTTTTGAAGAGTGAGACAGTGAATATTCCCCTCCACATGTATCATTCATATATTCATTCATCCCATTATTCATTCACCCTGAGAACTTGTGTTAAATTCCTACCATGTGTATGTTACTCTGTGTAAGGCTCTGGTGAGAGGGTTGATTCAGAGAGAGTAGGACACAGTCCTTGCTCTCAAATGTCTCACAAGGTCAGCAGGTTTGGGTTTTGAGTCTTAGATGTAACCATACAACAAATGTAAAGTCTTATTAAGTCGTCTCTAAAAGGGAAAGTACAGGTATTAGGATGGACTGTTATTTGAAACCATCCTTGACTTCTCTTTCTCTTACGTACCCCACATCTAATGTTGAAAATCCTCCTGGGTGTGTTTTAAAGACATACGGGGATTCCAACTATCTTTACCTCCACCACTACGTCTCTGGTCTGAGCCACCATCATCTCCCACCTGGATTAGGGCACTAACCTGCTACCCAGTCTCCCTGCTTCTCTTTTTGATCCTCTACGATGTGTTCCCAGCGTAGCCAGGGTGGTCCTGCTAAAACCTAAGTCAAATCATGTCACTCCTCCCTTCAGAGCCTTCCAGTAGTTAAATCAGAGTAAAAGCCAAAGTCCTCACAAGGGCCTAGAGTCTGACACCCCATTCCCCCTCTCACCTCCTGACCTGCGCATCACTTACACTGTTGCACACACTGGCCTCCTTGCTGTTCCTCGGGTCGTCCGGGCTTTCTCTGGCTCTTCCTTCTGCCTGCAGCGCTTTTCCTCCAGATGTTCACCTGGCTCACTCCCTCCGCTCAGAGGCCGCTTCTCAGTCATCCTACCCAACTGTCCTGTGTGAAATTGCCACCTGCCACCACACAGCTGTCCCTGCCCTACTGCCCACTCATCTCCCTAACCAGCTGGTTTCTCATAACACCCATCACCTTTTGGAATTAGTGACTGTTAACTAACTACCGATTAATTTGCTTATTTATTGTTTTGTTGCGTATAGTCCGTCTCCTCTACTAGAATGGAAACTCCACAAGGAGTTTTTGTTTACTTACTTGCTTGTTTTTATCTGTTTTATTCTCTGCTATATGCCCAAGCCCAAGAGGAGTGTCAGGCATATAATAGATGTTTAATAAATCTTTGTTGAGTGAATAAACTCACACCTTTACACTCTGAGAAGGACATTTATAGAGCATGTCACCATGGTTTGCATAGTTGAAACATTGGGAAAGAACCATGAGTGCTTAGTGGAAAGAGCGATGAAATGGAAGACGAGAGCCCTGGGTTCCAAACCCTCCCCCAGGGTTTTGGGCCTTTCACAAGATGTTTAGTCTCTGGAGTTAGACCAGTGTGTGCAGTGCTAAAGCAAACTAATGAAAAATAAACCCGGTAATACACGACAGTGATCATAGTTCTTAGAAAGTACTTTTTTTTTTTTCTGTTGCCAATCTTCCTCTCTTTTTTTTCCTTTTTTCCTCCTCAAAGCCCCGGTACATAGTTGTATATTCCAGGTGTAGGTCCTTCTAGTTCTTCTATGTGAGCCACCACCACAGCATGGCTCCTCACAGATGAGTGGTGTGGTTCTGTGTCTGAAAACCAAACCCCTGGCTGCCGTACTGGAGCACGCTGAACTTTAACCACTAAGGCTGGCTCGAGAGTACTTTCTTAAGTTAAGTTTACTTCCTTCCAATTGAGGCTTGTCCTATGGCCACACATCTGAGCAGCCTGTATGTAATGCACTGTTGGGCACTAACCTCAAGATGATTTTGTTCTTTCCAGTGTAACCTTAAAAATAATAATCAACCAAGCTTACCCTCCTCATCCCACTCCTGACTTTCAGATCCCAGCCTCATGGTTCTCTGAACGTTCCTTTTCATCAGTCATCAGCCATGTTAAACTCTTCCGTAGTCTCAGGAGGAGACTCCGTCGGGCCTGGGTTATGATAAACCATACAGTCTTTGTAGTTAACTCCTTGGGAACCAGTGTGTGAGCTGGTATTTTCATTAATGATTCAGCAGACTTCTGTCAGACCATTTGTTCTGCTGAGGTCTGCCTCGGTTGAGTGGAGTGTTCATAGATGTGCCTCTCTGCTTGGCCTTGCTTTCGCAGAGGGCTGTCCTAGCACAAGCAAATGAGACCAGACCAAATGCTTCCCCAAAACAGTAGAATGTTTCTCATACCTGCCATGTCACTCCTCACACTTGGAAATTACCATGGGCATGTCTTTCCTCCTCACTTAAGACAACAGGATATTTCCTTGCTGAAAACTTTTAGCAAACTTTTTCCATGTAATTGTTAACTAAAGTTGGATAAGATGACTCTAGTTCTTACTGATTAAGTAAATAGGCATTTTATGTCTACAGGTTTTTATTTTTAGAGGAGAGAGGAAAATCTTAAGAAACAGCTAATTATATCAGCCTTTGTTTAGTGAACTGTTTATAGAATTTAGAGTAGAATTAGTTTCTGAGGGCTGCTGTGACAAAGTACCATAAACCAGTAGCTTCAACAGCAGAAATCCATTGTCACCCAATTCTGGAGGCCAGAAGTCTGAGGAAGGAGAGAAGTCAAGGTGTTGACAGGGTGGGTTGCTTCCTTCCTAGGACCTGGTCCAGGCCTCTCTCGTTGGCTAATAGCTGGTGTTCTTTCCTTGTCCTCACATCGTCTCCCCTCTATATGTGCCTGTCTCTGGATCCAAATTTCCCCTTTTAATAAGGACACTAGTCATCTTGGATTAGGGGCCCAGCCTACTCTACTGTGACCTTGGCTTAACTAATTACATCTGCAGTGACCCTGTTTCTGAATCAGGTCACACTCTGAGGTTATTGGAGGTTAGACTTCCACATAGGAACTTGAGAGGGACACAGTGCAACCCAGACCTGTACATTGCCGTCAAGGATTCCCGTGGACTCTGAGGCAGAGAACAAATGTGTGTTTTATTTTTTGTGCAAAATGGGAAAACTGAAAGAGAAGTGAATTAAGTGAATTAATTTTTTTAAGATAGTGGAACTCCTCAAGAGCTGAAAATCATACAAAAAGGCTCTGCTCCTTTGCTCTGCCCAAAAACCAGATGTCATCCTCCTAGAGTTGTATCTTTGAACCTCAAAGTGCTCTATTCTGTAGAGGCACAGACTTTTAGTCTTAGAACAGATGCAGAGGGGAAAAGGCACTTCTCATAGTTACCCGAGTAGGAGGAGAACCAGCAGAGTCTACATCTCTTAACAGCAATCTCGCGTTCCTCCAATCACACTGTTGATTGCCCTTGTTAGTAACTGCTTTTCTTCTGTATGTGAAGAATAATTGTGGCCACTTTAGAAATGCGTGTTATCACTGATGTTTTTTTCTTCATGGCAGAAGGCTAATTAAAAAAAAATTGTTAGCATGTAGCTGAAATGTTTGCCTGAATTCCTTTGTTTATATCCATAAACATTTGAGTACCTCTTCTCTCATTCTAAAACCTACCATGATAGGAACTGGATTTGAGGCACCTCAGATTTCTCCAAATTCTTCTCAACTCGGTGCCTGAAGCAGAGTAATCACAGGAAGGTTCGGCCACTTCCATTTTCCTGTGGGCTGATTTCTTGATTTTTCAGATGAATTTTACTTTGCTCCCAGTCCACATTTGGGTGTGTTGTTTTCGCTAAGAAGGGTCTGTTTATTAGCAAATGCTGTTGGCGCACAGGGTCTGCTGTCTGTGCGGTCTCAGTGTCGCTGTGTAGAAGACAGCTGATAATTTAACCCTGAGTATTTCCCACAGCACTGTGTCCAATTAATTCACAATCTTGGTCTTTTCCTCCCATTTCAGCAAATCGATGGAGAAGCATTTCTGCTTATGACCCAAACAGACATTGTTAAAATAATGAGCATTAAGCTGGGCCCTGCTCTCAAAATTTTCAATTCCATCCTGATGTTCAAAGCAGCAGAGAAGAACTCTCACAATGAACTTTGAAGATGGTGAATTTTGAATACCATCAGCTTTCTGCTTTAAAGCTCATGTTTTATTCAAAGCACAAGGACAGTTATAACTCCTAAGTGAGAAGTCTCCAAAACTGAAAAGAGCGATGCTATCAGATTATTTATATTCCCCAAGAGACAATGTATATGAATTCCTATGAAAGTGCTCGAGCTTTTAACCAGGTACTGTCGAACAACAGTCATCTTTTGGTTCTGTTCACTGAGCTAAATTTATCTTTGTAAATCTTTTTGAGGCTGGGGGTGGGGGGCAAGGGGACTTCATTAATTATTTATGGATAAAGGGAGGGCAGAGTAAGAACTTTTGGCATTTTGTAAACATTGTTGAATTCTCTTTCATGTACACTGTTTCTTTTTCACTACTTTCAGGAATCTTTTTATATAATCAGATTTCAACTTAAACCAAATTAGTCAAAACCTGGCTAAGTGTAGCCGGTGGGACTGTTATGTGTATTAATTCTGTGCCATATTTTGAATTGCAACATTATGCTAAGTATAACTTTGCAAGTCATGATATTGCCTAACTGCTTGTCATAATTTGTTGGGGCTGAATAGTTGTAAAAATTACTTTTCTTTAAATCAGTGTTTTTACTTTTGCACGTATTATGAAATGTTAAACAGATTACTTTTCACCAGCATCTTTACGATAATTACCAAAAACATGTATATAAATGATGGAATTGAAAAATAAAATATATAAACATAAATAAATTAGGTGATGTATTTGAATGGCATCAGTCTCGTACATTGAGGTGCCCTGTGTGTTTACAAGCGTCCAGTAGGATCAGGGGAATGTGCAGTTACATTTGGGGTGGGGAAGTGGCGTGTTTGTAAGGATCTTGAACTGTTTATGAGATTATCTTCAGCTTCTCTCTCATGGTCATCAAGGTAACTGGTGCTCTTCAGAAATGGATGAAGGGCTTGTTCTGTCAATAGAAACACTAATCTGCACAGAGCTGTGTCTCAGATCTTGCAGTGTCTTCCAAACCCAAGGATTTTCAACCCAAAGATTTTCTTCGGGGTTGACTGAAGAGGGAGTATAGAGATTTTACTGAAAGGGCAGGGTGTGAGGGACAACACCAGTCAACACAAAGCTTCTAAATGCTCGCAGATCAGGGAGGCGATTTCCCAAGGCAATTATTCAAAACCTCTGTTTTGGAAGCTTCCTCTCTCAGAGCAGTTTGCCTCAGTGTATAAGCATACTGATGCCTTCTAAAGGAAAGCCTTTGATGACCTATAAGCTGGTAGCGGTGGTGTTTCTTTTGCAAGAATGCATTTCCAGTGCAAGAGGTAAATTGTTTTATCAGCCCTTGGATGTAATTTCTAATTCCAGGGTTGGACATTTCTTCAGGACTATTTTAAAAGTAGAAAGTAAGTTTGCAGCATGCTGTCTGAATTCTGGGGAAAGTTCCACCTCTCTCCTTAGTTGCTCTCGTTTTTCCTGATGTAGGACTTGATGTCCCTCTGAAGTCCCCTGAGCAGGTCTTTACATTTGTCAGAATTACAAGTAAAACAGGGTGTGCGACATCTGCAGTGTCCCATTCATTTCTTTGCATGACTCTGCTTAAATAAGTTTTTCGTTGCTGGATTTTTTCCCTTTTTTTTATGTTTTGTTCAGAATTTGTACATTCAGGTTGCACTTGTTATATCTGACATGAATGAAATAAAATCTTAATTGCAGATATTTTTTATACATGTATGATTTTTAAGAAAGCTTGTCAAATAGGAGCAAAAAGAGAGCAGGAACAATATCAGACATATGGACACTAATAGCTGTTTAATGGATCTGTAGGATTCAGAATTGTCTGTCAAACTATGTCCCAGATGATGTAGAATGACACACAAAAAAATTCACAAATTATATTGTTTGGTCACACAGGATTCACGCCCATTGGGGATTTTTCCTTTCTGGTTTAAAGCATATATTATAACAAAAGGGACTTTGAAGTCTTACTGAAAACATCGCTCATTCTAAGCAGCTTGTTGTTATGTTAGAGGTGGGGTATTAAGCACCCTTAGGGTGGAACAGTCGACTGCAAGAAGTGAAAACCTTCTCACCATTCCATCCCGGGGATGTAGTGTAAGTTTTAGCAGGGGAAACAGGGAGCTATGATGACAGGGAGGTCCCTGAAATGAGAGAAGCAGGCTTGGGGTAAGACAAAGGGAGAGTTGGAAAATGTGGAGCCTGATTCCCATCTAAAGACCTTTTAAAAAACTACAAACACTACAACCCAAGTGAGACCTGTCTGCAGGTTGAAATGTGGCCCCAGGCTGCCATTTTGCAACTTCTAGATTTAGTGGACTCAGCCTCCAAAGAAAATAGGGTTATGTTAGTCAATCAATATTGAATATTACCAAGTGGCAGGGCCGTGCTGGACACTGGGGATGGATGCACCATGGAAAAAGACAATAAAGCTTCCGTGCATCTGCCCAGTGGTCAGCTCGGGTCTGTGTCATGTTTGCAGCCCAACTTCCCTGCAGTTCCCTGCAGCTCCACCCCTGTCCCTCTGGCCCAGCCTAAAGGCACACAGAGGCTTTCATTCAGCTTCAGCCGTAGAGACTCTGGACCTCCTAAGGGAGGGAGTCATTGTGAACTTGGCAAATGCATTTGGGAGAAGAGGAATCAGACCGTGGAACACTGAAAGGAGGGGAGGGAGTAATTGGGGGAAGTAAAGGAAAGTCTGTAAGGAACTAAAGGCACATTCTCGTGAAAGGGAAGAATGACAGCTGTGGAATAGGGAATAGTTTATGCAAAAATGACGTGTACCGAATTGTTACTCACTCCGCCTGTCCATTCTCGTGGTTGGGGAGTAGTCATCGTGGAAGTGGGCAGGTGACCTTTCATTTTCTTTGATCTCATTGACTTAAGCATTTTAATGAACAGTCCTTATAGAGAAAAAGGTATTAGAATAAGTATTGTACAGTATTTCCAGAGATGTATGTTATGAAAATATTTCTGCAATAATTCATGTGAGCCCCCTTTCTTCATAAACTTTTTTAAAAGCTTAATTTGATGAAGTAACCCAGGAAATGCTCATCACATTGTGATGCAAGTATTACCTACTGAAATCTCTTGAATCTCTAAACTGACCTGTTCTATCAAAACTGATGAGTAACATTGATATTGTGATGATGACAGCAAGGGGCACCTTAAAACTGTAGTGTTGTAGTTTTCCTTTTGAAATACTTGGAAAAGAGCGAGAGTACACTCAGTCTTGATAGACCTACAAAGTACTTGTGTAGCCAGTGTTATGAACAGAAGGAGTGGAGTTACAACATGGGACCCTGGGCTGGGTGAGGAACCAGGACCAGGTCTCCTGAAGAGACGCTGGAGGGCAGGTCTAGGAAGGGGCCTAACCTGAGAACTAGAAGCTGGTACCCAAGGGGCCGTGGAGTGAGAAGCCAGGTCCGTATTGCAGATCCAAACATGCCCACGGAGCAGCCAGGGCAGACGTGAACACCCAAGGTCAAGGCCAGAGAAACCCAGCAACCATGTGAGGAGACAAGAACCAGGTGCACCGCTGTACCTCAAGGGAGGGAAGCAGTGGAAGATGACACAGGCCACAGGTGATCAGAGGATGGTCCGGCAGTAAGGAGACCTCAGGAATGAAGCAGCCCTTGTTCTCAACAATGTGATTGAAGGAAACCAACCAGAACACTCAGAGCCAGGCAGGCGAGCTAGGGGAAAAAGAACTGGGGAGTATGTGCGTCTTCTTAAAGTGTTCAAGTTCAAAATGTTTTCAAGCAATATTCAGACCAAAGAGGGAGCCCACAGGCCGCACAGGTGCAGCTCCTGGGTGTTAAGTCTTTCAAAGGTGGGCACACTGAGTTAAGTGCAAAGTCATATCCTAATCCAAAGGATTTGGACAAATCTGAAGCGTAGTGTCTTTTAAAAACTAATGCACCCTTGAAAGTGTAACTTGCACCATGGAATTTCTTAGAACTCAAAAATAAACAGTTCTTTAAGTAGTAGTTTATTACAGAATTTCACAAAGAACTTAAGTGTAAAGTGAACTTAAGTGAATCTAAGTGTAAAGAGAGGAGGCATTGAAATTCACTCACACCTTTGAGACTAGATGATTTTCTAATCCCCACCCATTACCTCAACCCTGAATCAGAACAACTTTGTATAAAGTTCAGCTGTCCCAGAGATCAATTCAGATATAACATTTGGCATGATCATTAAGCGACTGGGTATTGAAATCCTACTTCCTTTTCCTGTTCATTTACAGAAGGAAAATAGGGACTGTGCATATCAAAAATCAGTGTCTCTAGGAAGTTGAGGGTTTGGGACAGTCTTCTTGGACACTCAATCCCAAATACACGAAAGGCGGCTATGAGAGCAGCCAAGGCCGTAACACAGTCATCCATCCTCACGAGTCTCTCTTTTTCTAAATACAAAGAAAATTCACAGACATCGATGTTGAAAGGGTTCTTAACTTCTAACACAGGCGTGGACACTTGCACCTGAAAAAAAGATATTTAACAGAGTCACCACTTTGTGATGTGTAAAATAGCTAAATAATAAAAGGTGCCTCAGTTTAGCCATGATACTATAATAAATGAGCTGTTGCATTGTTTAGCATGTTTGTAAATATGACAAAACATTTCAAAATAGACCACCGTCCTGCTTTCAAATAAATTATGTGAGGGTGTGAAATGTCAAACCAATGATCATTGATACACTACATACCTTCTCATTCACAATGACAAAAAGGCTGGGGTCATCCCCAAAAACATCTGGTAGGAGTAAACATGTGGCCGTCATCTTCATATCTGTCAAAGCAAACACGCTCACAGTCCAGGTAAAAATAAGCTTTTCCCACTTATTGTAAGCAAAGCCAGTATTAAAACTTCTGGATTTTTTTTTTAAATCGTTACCTTCTACAGAGATGCTACCCCTCTTAGATCAGTGCTTTGCAACCATTTTCAACCAACATCCCCTTCTAATAAACGTTCAAGATCTCATGTTCTGCCCTCCAGATCACAGCCTCCAGAAGACGGTGACATCCATCAGCCAGGATGATTTTACCATGCTTTACCTTGTACCTCATATTATGAAATTAACAGATTACTCGTTCCCTAAATATAATTTTACAATTTTGAGTGCATTTTTTAAATCTATATCTCAACTCCTCCTATTTGAGAAATGCTTTTTTCTTTTGCTCACGTTGTTTCACTAAATTTTACTTATTACCAAAACAGAACTTTCCTGATTATCCTGAATTATACAGATAACTGAGACCAGATCACCCCACCCCTCTGGGTTACTCACGTTTCAACATGTCTTCATCTGTGTGCTGTTTCATTTTTTCTTGCAATGCGATGTAGATTGGATTGTCCACCACTGAAAAAGAGGTCAGTATATTTTCTGAATAGGACTCCAAAATGTGCCTTGTTTTCTTATAGATATCTGTCCTTGTAAGAAGTTGGAATTCTCTGAACATCTGAAAAAAGGAGAAAAACAATTCAGATCACAAGAAAAGCTAATGCATAGAATGTAAGGAAGCAAATAACTGTTTAGGATTATACTAAGCTTTGAATGCTAGTTTAAAATATATACTAGACGTTTGAGTAGCTTTAGAGGAGAAGTAAAGACAGAGGAGAAGAGAAGAACGGAAGCCAAAAGCGAACAGGAAGAGATAAAGAATGAACATGGCAAACTTCTAAGCCCATAGAATTAAAACTCTGGCTGCAGATTCAACTAAATGAGGGTTCCAAAGTATAAATGTGCATTTTGGCTAT